CCAGGTTTATTCCCTCCTGGATTCCGGGTCCCCCCCGAGGCCGTTCCTGCAGCACCGAACCCCAAATTCCCTCCAGGGGCTGCGATTCTGCCCCTTCCAGGACGTCCTGGGCGCCGGCCACGGGCAGGGATTCACCAGCATCCTGGTGCCAGGTGGGAATCCCGGGAATTTTGGGAATTTTGGGAATTTTTGGGAATTTTTTGGAATTTCTGGGAATTTTTTGGGATTTTTTTGGATTTTTTTAGGATTTTTTTGGAATTTTTTAGGATTTTTTTTCGATTTTTTTTCGATTTTTTTTCGATTTTTTTTCGATTTTTTGGGGAATTTTAAAGCGGTTTGGGAGGTGGACATGAGTTGGGATTCAGCAGCATCCTGGTGCCAGGTGGGAATCCCGGGAATTCCGGGAATTCTGGGAATTTTGGGAATTTTGGGAATTTTTTGGGAATTTTTTTGGGATTTTTTGGGAATTTTTTGGGGATTTTTTTCGATTTTTTTTCGATTATTTTTGGATTTTTAGGGCAGTTTTGGGGTGTTTGGGAGGTGGACATGAGTTGGGATTCAGCAGCATCCTGGTGCCAGGTGGGAATCCCGGGAATTCTGGGAATTCTGGGAATTTTTGGGAATTTTTGGGAATTTTTGGGAATTTTTTAGGATTTTTTGGGGGAATTTTAAAGCAATTTTGGGGCATTTTCAGGTGATTTTTGGGAATTTTGGGAACCTGGGATTCACCAACATCCTCGTGCCAGGTGGGAATTCTGGGAATTCCAGGAATTTTGGGAATTCTGGGAATTTTTTTGAGGTTTTATTTTAATTTTTGGGAATTTATTGGGATTTTTTTTGAATTTTAAAGCATTTTTGGGGCATTTTCAGGTGATTTTTGGGGATTTTGGGAACCTGGAATTCAGCAGCATCCTGATTCCAGGTGGGAATTTTGGGAATTCTGGGAATTTTTTTGAGTTTTTTTTAATTTTGGGGAATTTTTTTGGAATTTTTTTGGGATTTTTTGGGTAATTTTAATGCATTTTTGGGCCATTTTCAGCAGATTTCAAAGAATCCAGAATCCACCAACACCCTGATCCCACCTAAAAATTCCCAAAAACTCCAAAAATCCCTAAAAACCCCAAAAACTCCTTAAAAAAACTTCATTTTTAATCAATTTTATCCCAATTTTGAGACGATTCCCTCGAATCCGACGCGATTCCCGCTGGAATTTCCTCAATTCCCGGGGGGTTTTTCACTTCCCCGACCTCCAAATTCCCAAAATTGCCTGGAATTCCCAAAATTCCCGAATTTTAGGGGCGGGGGAGCCGAATTTGGACGCTTTGGAGGCGAATCCGTTCCGCAGCCGCCGGCAGCGCCAGGAGTGGGAAGTGAAAGCGCTGCTGGAAAAGGTAAAAAAATCCCCAAAATTCCCAAATTTCCCAAATTCCCAAGATTTTTTAATCCCAAGATTTATTTCCTGATCCTTTGAGATCCCAAATTCCCCATTTTCCCCCCAAAATTCCCATTTTTCCACCAAAAATTCCAATTTTACCTCCCAAAATTCCCATTTTTCACCCCAAAATTCCCAATTTTCTCCCCCAAAATCCCATTTTCCCCCAAAATTCCCAATTTTCCCCAAAAATTTCCCATTTTTCCCTAAAAATTTCCCAATTTTCCCCCCAAATTCCCAATTTCCCACCCCAAATTCCCATTTCCCCATAAAAATTCACATTTTTCTTCAAAAAATTCCCATTTTCCCCCCCAAAATCCCCATTTTTTCCCCCCCAAAATTCCCATTTTTCCCCCAAAATTCCCATTTTTTGCCCAAAATCCCCAATTTCCCACCCCCAAAATTCCCCTTTTTTCCCCCAAAATTCCCAATTTTCCCCCCAAATTCCCATTTTCCCCATAAAAATTCCCATTTTTTTTCCCCAAATCCTCATTTTTCCATCTAAAATCTCCATTTTTTCTCCTAAAACCTCCATTTTTCCCCCCAAAATCCCCATTTTCCCCCCAAAATTCCCATTTTTCCCCATAAATTTTCACTTCCCTTTCCCCAAATTCCCATTTTCCCCCCCAAATTCCCATTTTACCCCCAAATTCCCATTTTTCCGCCCATTTTTTCCCCCTAAATCCCCGTTTTCCCCATAAAAATCCACATTTTTCCCCATAAATTTTCATTTTCTTTCCCCCAAATCCCCAATTTCCCCCCAAATTCCCGTTTTTCCCCCAAATTCCCATTTTCCCCCCCAAAATCCCATTTTCCCCCAAAATTCCCAATTTTCCCCAAAAATTTCCCATTTTTCCCTAAAAATTTCCCAATTTTCCCCCCAAATTCCCAATTTCCCACCCCAAATTCCCATTTTCCCCATAAAAATTCACATTTTTCTTCAAAAAATTCCCATTTTTTTCCCCCAAATTCCCATTTTTCCCCCAAACTCCCATTTTCCCCCCAAAATTCCCATTTTTCTCCCCCTCATTCCCATTTTCCCCCCAAAAATCCCCATTTTTCCCCAAAAATTTCCCATTTTTCCCCCAAATTCCCGGTTTTTCCCTCCTCATTCCAATTTTTCCCCCCAAAATTCCCATTTTCCCCCCAAAATTCCCATTTTTCCTCCCAAAATCCCCATTTTTCCCCCCAAATTCCCATTTTCCCCCCAAATTCCCATTTTTTTTCCCCAAATCCTCATTTTTCCATCTAAAACCTCCATTTTTCCCCATAAAAATTCCCATTTTCCCATAAAAATTCACATTTTTCTTCAAAAAATTCCCATTTTTCCCCATAAATTTTCACTTCCCTTTCCCCAAATTCCCATTTTCCCCCCCAAATTCCCATTTTACCCCCAAATTCCCATTTTTCCGCCCATTTTTTCCCCCTAAATCCCCGTTTTCCCCATAAAAATCCACATTTTTCCCCATAAATTTTCATTTTCTTTCCCCCAAATCCCCAATTTCCCCCCAAATTCCCGTTTTTCCCCCCCAAAATTCCCAATTTTCTCCCCCAAAATCCCATTTTCCCCCAAAATTCCCAATTTTCCCCAAAAATTTCCCATTTTTCCCTAAAAA